TTTACTTCTCCCAAGACCTAACCCAAGCTTTGGGAACAGTCTTTCTCTGTAGATATCCTCGATCCCTCACAAATTACTTTTTAGGCGCAGGGGTTGAACCGGGGTGTCATATGGCACAGACTGGCCTCAAACTTGCTGTGTAGCCAGAAATAACCTTGAATTTGTAATCTTCCTACCTCTGCCTCCTGAATTCTGGGATTACAGAACTGCACAGCCACGCCCAGCTGTGGGTCCATAACCATCAAAGCAGCATGGGGCAGCCCTCCTTACCCTGGACTTTGGCTGCTGACACTGGTCCCTCCCTCCACCTGAAGCAAAGGTGTTTCTCAGACAATCAGAGGCTACTACCCCTGCTCGTAACCTCCTGGGGCAGAGTGGCCACTGTTGCCTTAGGATTGGGAACTTGCAGCTTCAGAAATAAGGACTGGTCAAGAGATTTTTTCATCCTTATCTCTTAGCAAGAGCCAACTTCATCACTCACTCTCTCTCTTCATCACTCATGTCCTTGCCCATCGGCTGGCATCTGGCTCAGCGCGGCTGTCTTATGATAAGTCAGAGATGTGACAGAAGTCATTAACATAACATTTCCATCTACCCTCCCAGAGCATGGAGCATGGAGAGGAGACCCAGAGAGGTACAGGGTCAAGAAAGAGTAGTTTTTTTTTTTTTGTTTTTTTTTTAATTGGTTTTTCAAGACGGGTTATCTCTGTGCAACGGCTCTAGCTGTCCTGGAACTCACTTTGTAGACCAGGCTGGCCTTGAACTCAGAGATACAACTGCCTCTGCCTGAGGAGTGCTTGGGTTAGAGTCTAGAGAGAATAGTTTCTGACTGCAGATGTTGGAGCTAAGTCTGGCCCGTGCAGCTCACTCACCCAAGTTTCTATCTTCACAGTAAGGAGATAGCAATTCCTCCCCCCAGGCTAGCCCAGAAAACTTAGCCTAGCCCAGGAGCTCTGTTCACAGTGTTGTTAGTTATGTGAGCGGTCCTGCTTAGAACCCAACTCCACAAATATAAGGTGAAGATACTTTGAAATTGCTGATCCCTGCTAAGCCAACTTCCACATCTGGTAAGCCAGGTGTTTTGGGACCCCAGAACTTAAGAGATGGAGGCAGGAGGGTCAGAAGTTCAAGGCCAACCTTGGACACGGAGAGGGATTGGAGTTGTGAGGATACATGAGCTCTATCTCACAAAAGTCTCAAAACAGTAATAAAGTCTTCTGCAAAACCAAAATCCAAACCAAAACACATTCCCAATTAGGAATGCAGTAAGGACCCAAGACTGTACTAAGGGGCCGGGAAGATGTTTCTGCCCAGCGGACATGACAACATCATGGCTGTAATATAATACCCTTGGAATGACTGACATACATCTCCCAGATGCCTTCTGCTCATGGAGACACCCCTGTCTAATCCTGGCTCCTGTGCACCACAGCAGAGTGGTGCACAGTGTGGGAAGGAGACACACATCACAACATGTTAGCAAGGCCAAGCTGTATTTCCTTCTGCTTCTTTTTTGTTTGTGCATGCACTCACTTGTGCATTTTTCATGTCTGTGCAAATGTGCATGCATGTGAGCGTACATGCACTTAGAGAATAGAGGATTAGCCTAGAATGTTCTTTCTTTAGACACCCTGGGGGTTTCTTTTAGACAGGGTCTCTCCCTGCCACCCAGGGGATCACTCATCAGGCTAGCCAGGAAGTTTGGCTTCCTTTCCTATTCCTATTGTGATATACTTTGACAAAAGCAACTTAGTATAGAAAGAGTTTATTCTGGCTCAAGGTTCAAAGATACAGTGTATCTTTGCAGGGAATTCAGGACCAGAGGAGCTTGAAGCATCTGGTCATATTGAATCCAAAATCAGGGACCGGAGATTAATGAGTATGCATTGCTGCTTAGCTCCTCCCCTTTTTACTTTATTTTATATGTATGTGGGTTTTGCCTACATGTATGTCAGTACCCCAGGGCGCCAGAAGAGGGTGTTGGATCCTCTAGAACTGGAGTTACAAATAGTTGTGAGCCACCATGTGGGTGCTGGGAATCAAACTCAGGTCCTCTGGAAGAGCGCTAAGTACTTCTTTTTTTTTAACTGCTCCACCATCTCTCCACCTTCCTTACTGAGTCCAGGACCTCAGCCAGCACATGGCGCCTCTCAAAGTAAGAGGGTCTTTCCACCTCAATTAATGCAATCAAGATGATTTTCCAGGACTTGAAGACATGGCTCAGCAGTTAAGAACTCTTGCTCCCAGCCTAGTGTGGTGGCGCACACCTTTAACCCCAGCACTCAGGAGACAGAGGCAGGCGGATCTCTGTGAGTTCGAGGCCAGCCTGGTCTAAAGAGCAAGTTCCAAGACAGTTAAAGCTGTTACACAGAGAAACCCTGTCTCAAAAAAAAAAAAAAAAAAAAAAAACAACAACAACAAAAAACAAACACACACACAAAAGAGTACTTGTTGCTATTACAGATTACAGATAACCTAACTATGGCTCCCAACACTCACATCAGGCAGCTCATGACTACCTCCAACTCCAGCTTCAGGGAATCCGATAGTCTTCTGGCTTCCAGAAGCACCTGATATGGCACACCCCTACACAGATACACTTAAATAAAAACAAACACATATACACAAATGACGTTTTTTTTTTTTTCAAGACAGGGTTTCTCTGTAGCTTTGGAGTCTGTCCTGGAACTCGATCTGTAGACCAGGCTGCACTCGAACTCACAAAGATCCACCTACCTCTCCCTCCCGAGTGCTGGGATTAAAGGCGAATGCCAGCACAAATAATGATTTTTAAAAGAAAATCCTCCAGGTACCACAAGGGTATGTGCTGTTTTTCTGGGATTTTGTTTTTTACTTTTTTTTTTTTAAATGGAATGGGTGATTATCATGACCATCACAGCTTGCTAGCACCAGCAAGGCCCAGAGAGCTACCTGTCTCTGTCTTCCCAGCACTGGGATTACAACCATGGGCTACCATGCTCAGTTTGGGTTTTTTTGTTTGTTTGTTTGTTTGTTTTATTTTTTTCAGGGTGCTGAGGATTGAAGTCAAATCCTCACAGTTGCACAGAAAGCTTTTTACCAATTGAGATATATCCTCAGCTCCTATTTTGTTTGTTTGTTTGTTTGTTTTTGAGAACAGGGTTTTGGGTAGTCCAGGATGGCCTGGAACTCACTGTGTAGCTAAAGACGATCCTGAGCTCTACTCCTCCTAACTCCACCACCCTGGCACTCACATTAGTGGGCACTGCCATACCCGGCTCAACAAAGCCTGATTTCCACACCCTTTATAGAGTCTCTGACCTCTCAATCTGGCCCTATAGAGAGGCCACAGAGGACAGGCACCACGGCAGCCCACACAGGATGGCTAGAGTGTTCCCTGTTCTTTGGAGGTTCACAGCTAACAAAACAAAACATTCTGATTGAAATTCCCTGTCAGTCTGATTTTCCATTTTCTGCCCAAAGCAACCGACTCTGTCTTTACCTTTCTTCTGGGGGTGTTTTTAATCAAAGAAACGTTTATTAAAAAATCATATGTTCTGCAGAGTGGGTAGGGGAGTTCCAAAATAAGATAGTCTCCAGTTCTGTCCAGAGGCACTAACTGGAGGGTCTATAGGGTGTATGGACACATGTTCACTTTGTCTAGTGACTCTTGAACCAGGCTCTGATCTGAGAATTGAAGTGAGAATACATGAGAAACCAAGAGCCCTGCGTCCAACTCAGGAATCCAGCATATCTCCTCTCCAGGTAAAGCTCCCAGCCTGCCTGGAGCAGTGTCCTACACTGCTGGCTCCGCTGACTGCCCTTCTATAGCCAATGAAGAAGGAGGTTAAAGGGGCCACACCTACTGGGGAAAGCGGCTCACTCTTAGTTACCTCCTACTCCCTCTTCTTCATCTACATGGACAATCACAGGTTCTCAGTGAACTCCAGTGAACTCCGAAGGCCAGAAAGCCCCCTTGCCGCACCTATCTGGTTTGGCTCAAAGCTGCTAACTGAACGACTGGAAAATGGAATAAATACAATCTCTGAACGAAGTTGGACACACTCCGTGCTTATTCTATGAAGAGCCTCAGAAATACATAGTTGGTTGATCAAGTTAGTCCCAGAAAAAATCCCAGCACTGGGAGGATAATTCAGAATAGTGAGTGTGAGAACAACCTGGTCTATATAGAGAAGTTCTGTCTTTAAAAAACAGGAAGAAAAGTAAAGCAAGGAGGACGGGCGAGGGAGAAAGGGGGAAGGAGGAAGCCCCCATATTTGTTGTCAAAGAAAATCCTAACTGTGCCTTTTCCCCACCAGGGCCTGATCCTGTTCCTGATCCCTCTCAGGTGACCCAGTATTTACTGAGCAGCTCCTCTGAACTGGGGAGACAAGCCCTACCCACACATCTTCCTCTCCACGCTTAAGCCAATTCCTGTAACCCGTTCCCACCACACAGTTCAGGGCCTCCAGCCTTCCTTGTCCCATATTTGAGTCTATAGGAGGCTGTTGGGTTAAGAGAGGGAGGAAGTCTTCTAGCCTTTAGTCTCTGCCTGCAGCCCACCCCAACGCCCCTCAACCCCATAACCAGGGATTCTGTCTCCCGCTAACCTCGGGACTGGTCCCAGACAGGTTATACAACTCAAAGCCCCTATCCACTGTCCCTAGTGGAACAACCTCAAACCTAGCTGTTTCA